GAGTGGAATCATATAATTGAAGTAGATTTAATTTAAAACATTGACCTTACTTGTGAACTTAATTTGGATGGACTTCATTTAACTGTGTTACCAACTGATGGTTTATTTTAGTTGGTCTAATAATTCACTTTGAGCATACTTAACATTAAAATAGCTTTTTTTGTTTGTTTGTTTTTTAAAATTTCAGTTGAATAATTAGATATCACTCAAATTTCCTTAAAATATGTGGAAATACTAGTTGGAGCAACTTGATTTCTATGAATAATCAACAAAAAAAACTTGTGTTTATGCTGCCAATTATGAAATTAGTTGCAATTTAAATACTAGGATTTAATTTATTTTGTTGCTTGAACGTAATTTCATTAGGAGCTGTCAAAAGTAACAAAGATTGACGTAACCTGTTGCATTATTTTCACTATAAAAAAAAACAAAAAAAAAACAGCTGTGGTTTAATAAGAGACACTGAATCAGTTTGGTAGGTTTTCAAATCCAAAACTGAAGTTTATTTATTTGATAAAGCAAGTAGTTTGCATAAAATATCCTTTTTTGTCAGCTGTCAGTGTGAAATAGCTTTGTATTGTGAAATTCAGACTGCTGTTACTGTCAGTGCTCAAATAACAAGGAAACTGTGGTCAAGCTTTCATTTCTACAAAACGATTTATTTAAATTTAACAGTAGGTCAGTGTGTTTTTTCACTTGCTCACATTTACACTGATTCATCAAAGACCCATAACCTGACATCCTTTTTTTTTCTTTGTGAGCGTCTTTTGTTTGTGATCGGTTCATGTGACTAATCGTGAGATTTTTTTCCTGCATTTGCTCACTCTGACTTTTAAATAAGGACGACCTGCAGCTTCAACATGAAGCTCTCTGCTGTTTTAATCCTGCTGCTCCACAGCATCGGTGCCGCCGCACAAAGTAAGGATGACTTTCACATTTACTCTTTTCATATATTAGATCATGATTTAGTTTATTAGAGAGAATTTAAATTGTTGAGGTTTGAACAGAAGCAACCTGGTCTTCAGATTGTACAGTTACACCCAAAGCTATTCATATTTGTGCCAAGTTTTAAATTTATTGTGATTTAACAGGTTTCTTCTGGCTAGAAATGACGACAAGTGACAAAAGACAGTAAGACATGTTCGAGATCTTAATGAATAATTTGAACTATTTCTATATTATTTATGTCCAGAATGATTGAAACTCTTGTTCTAGTGTCTAACAGTGTTTCTGGGATTTGGTTCCTCCAAGTGTCCATCTGCAGCTCTTGGAGCTTGAAGGCTTCCTCTCCATCACTCTGCTCTTCAGCTCCTCCACAGGTTCTGGATGGATTCAGGTCTGGACTCTGGCTGGGCCGCTCCAACATCTCCTCATTGTTTCTTCTTCANTAATTTAATTTAATTTAATTTAATTTAATTTAATTTAATTTAAATGACTAAATATAAGTATTAAAAAACAATGTACTGCAGTTCTACTATACAGTCTCAGGAATACCAGTGCAATCTGTATACAAGACAGGATTTCACTCTGGAAAGCAGATAATTTATTTCTTTAGCACATTTAAAAACCAGTTACAAGGTACTTTACAAAAATAATGAGCAACAATAAAACACTAGAAAAGACATAAAATATTATACAATTGCCAGTCTGTACAAGTGGGATTTTAAAAGCTTTTTAAACTGACTGAGCTGTTCTGCAGGAAGGGGGAGATTGAGACATCAATCACATCATTAAACATTGATTATCTCATTACAAAGCAGTGTTCTGCTGGGAAACCTTAGTCCTGGTGCTCTGATGGATGTTACTTTGACATGTGCTACAGACAAAGCAGAACCTCACCCAGCAGGACAATGCATCCGCCACACCGCAAAAATGTCCCAGGGAATGCTCAAAAAACATTGATCCGGCCTCCAAACTCCCCAGATCCAGCCGTTGGTTTAGTGTTGTAGCTGATCGGTGTAGACGTCGGTGCAGCAGGAGGTTTTGGCGGCTTAATGTTCTTTGGGATCCTCAAATCAATTTCTTCATACCAGTAATTTTCTCCCCTTTATTGAATGTGAGCCTCCAGCACCACACAACGCTACTAAATGATCCTTGTGGACTGTGAGCGGATAGAAAACTGTAAAACGACAATAATAATGACTTTAATTTAAACTGGAGACATTTCAGTGGCACCAAAATCCCCCAAAACCTCCAAGTTAATAAGCTTCAAAATACTCTCAAAGGACGGCAAATATATACAACAATTTGTGATGAATAAGATAAACAGTACATACACTTGGATATAATCTTACATGTATTTACATCTGTGTCATATAAAAAGAAATTCAAAGTCTTTGTACACTGTGCAATGATTGACTAAAGCAACGCTGCTGTGTGTTTGTGTGGAAAACTAATGACTAATAAGCAGGTAGTTCTGGAGAACAGGAGGTAAAGGCAATTTTTCCGTTTGATTCTGCCTCTGCTGCCCTAAAAGCTGACGAATCGAGAGTCCACATAAAGCCATCAGGGCTGGAGGATCGCCTGAGAACAAAAGAAACAAACATTTTTAGCATTGCAGTGATTTCTTATCATTTTATTAAATTGGTTTTAGAGAATACTTTGTCCACATTTGCTGTGAAAAATCACAAAACACCTTTCTCATCTATTTCAAACTGAACTGTCCATAAAAATAAAACTTTACCGCGATGAAAACAGACTCTGCAACAGGTCGGATTAACCCTCTGAACTACAAAACCGACCGACGAGTTTAAAGTCATGTTATCTTTTTTAAAAAATGCCAAAAATTACAGCATTTAGCAGAGCCAGAAACTATAACAGAGAGAAGCATCGAATCAACTTTCTGATGAACTAACAATGTGTGACGTGATGGTTGGTGGGAAAATTTAACCAAACCTAAGCTTACGATCCTGATGTTTCTATAAAGACATTCTCATTCAAGAATTCATCCAAAAATAAACTGTTTGCATCCAGAACTACATTTTTGTACACCTTAGTGCAGCTGGGAAGCCATGACTGACACAGCTGTGACCAACAGTCTCATAATAAAACTGTCTTCTTTTTGGCTGAACTGCAGGCAGTGTTGACACAGAGCAGAGAGGAGACAAGCGTGGTTTCATTAGAAAATGATCTAATTATTAATAATATTAATACTTCGCTATCATTATTACTGCTAATGTTAGTAGAATCTGTGCATTAATACCGCTGATATGTGCAATATTGATATGTCCACATCAAGTGGAGTTTGGACAATCTGAACTTGTACTTTTGTATATTTTTGGTTGACTTTTATTTTTCAGTTTCCTAAGTGTTTGTGTGCTGCTGTCACAATGCAAATTTCCCCACAGTGGGATTTATAAAAGCTTATCGTATTGAAACTGAAATACCGAGTCTGAAAAAATGAATCTTGCACATTAAATTGACTTTTCTTTTTAAATATGTTTTTTGGGCCTTTTGCCTTTATTTAGAGCAGTAGAGATAGACAGGAAAGGGGGGAGAAGAATGGGGACAGACCAGCAACAAAGGGTCATGAGCGGGAGTCGAACCCACAACCGCTGCGTTGGGGACTATAGCTTCTGTTTATGGGTCGCTCACTCAAGTAGGTTAGCAATAGGGGCGCCCGAATATTTCCTTGACTTAACATAAAACTGATCTGCGTCTGAATAACATAATTCTGTCACGAACAGATTGATAAAGCAGTGACATGCATATCTTGTATTTGTTATTAAAAACTTGAAACTCACGTGTGGTCCCGTTCAGGTATCGTAGTCGGATGCTGGCTCCTCCTCTGACGCTGCTCACTGCCGGGAACAGCTCAGCCCCTCGAGGAAGATTCTGAAAAGCGACACCGAGGTAGCTGCTGTCCACGACGAAGCCCAGAGTCCCTGCGTCGGCATCCAGGACCAGCAGGACGCGCTCAGGGATCAGGAGAGGAGTTTCTGCCGCCTTTAGGGAGGATTGAGGAAGTAAGTTTTCCTCAGCCTCAGAGTGGCTCCTCCTCCTGTTTCCTGGGTAAGGCCCCAGCGTTCGCCCATCGTGCCACAGCTGATTGGTTTTCAGCTCCCACCCCCAGGACTGTGAGTCTCCGCCCACCAGGACGTTGTATCCCGACGCCTGCAGGGGGCAGTCTTTCCTGGAAACCCCCAGGACAGCATGGCTTCCTCTGTGTTTGGGGGTCCACACCATCTCCCAGACGTGGAGCCCGCTCTTCACGCCCGTCTCCGCCCTCACACCGTCGCTGCTCAGCTCGGCGGGCGAGCGGGTCACTTCCTGTTTGCAGGGCGACAGCAGGAAGTGTGGAGAGCGGTGGGCGGAGCTCCAGCGTGAGCAGGCGTCTCCTGGAGGAACGGGAGGGGAGTTTAGGGTAACCGCCAGGCGAGAGGAGGGCGGGATGGCCAGAGGAGGGAAGGCTGACGGGGTTGATGGAGGGCAGTCTGCCGGCCTGATGTACAAATACACTGACTGTAGGAGACCCATCATACAAACAGCAACTTCTGAAAGAGAAGAACTGTGATGGACAAGAAAACCCTGGTTTACACAATGAAAGACACAACAGAAGGTGTAGACTTGAATGAAATTCAGCAGCTTATTTGTGGAAAAAGAGCCTCAAATAACAGACCAAACTCTTGATGGACAGATACTAAATCCCACAATATCACATCAACATTATATCATTTTTTAATTGTTAGCTGCTAAGGATCAATTTAGCAGATTATCACATGTGATATTCAGCACTTTTCTCATTATTGTTTTATTTTCTTTCCAACGAGCAGGTTTTTAATCAAATAAATGAATGTAAAAATGCATCACTTTGGCTCTTTGTCAGTAACCTTGTCCACAGCATGGCTGATTGGTTACACGTCACAAATAACAGCCAATCAATGCTCAGGAAAAGCTCTCAGTTTAATGAAACGTGTAAAACATAACACATGTCGACTAGGTTTTGTGCTGGAGTTTGTGTTTTTCTAAATTTTAACACCAAGGTTTTCATTTTGACTTCAAATGTACATTGATTCCTAATATCAATTATCATCTACGTCAACTCCTGATTATCGATGTCAGCTGTGAACAAACCTCATTGTCACAGATGCATTTACAAAAAGCTGCTGCAATTTAGGATATTCACAGTGAAATGTAGGCTTATCTGAATAAATGGTGGAGTCAGTAAGCAGTATTTGACCTACAGTACACTAAAAAGAAATCTGTATTTAAAAAATTATTTAAAAAAATAAAATAGAATAAAAAAATCTGGCAGCAAGGGTGCCAAAACAAATACACCAAAAACAGGAGAATACTGCAACATTGATAAACTGTAAAAACTGAAATTAACAGCAAATATCTGTTGAAAAAAATATATTTTTACTTAATTAAGTAGAGTAATACAGTGTTATTTTGCAGTCCCACACTGTAAAAGATTGACTTACTATTTATGAAAATAGAGATTTTGATATAGACATCATGTACCGTTTTGGCCTGTTTTTGGTTACTTTTATTTATGCATTTCTTTTCCAGTCAACATGTAAACTATATAATAATATAAATATATCCAAGATATAATCAAACAAAATTTTACAAAACACAGGAAATATATTTTTTTAATCCCAAATATATGTTTGTTTATGTATTCATATTATATATTATTTTCAAATAACAAAAAAAATAGTTTGTAAAGTGATGTTTATTATAAGGTTTTTAATGGGAACATTATTCACAGTTTTGACATGATTTTTTTTTTCAACATGTAAACAATACTTTCTCTGATTTTACAAGTTATAACATAAAGAAACAGGGGGAAATCTGTAAAACAAGTTTTTTAAAAAAATCACCACTTTTAAATCCATAACAGACCTATTTTTTCTTTACAACAAAGGCCAATATCTGAATAAATTAATTAAAATAAAATAAAATAAAATAAAATAAAATAACTACATTTGTTTGCTGCACAATCAAACATTTGTGGAAAAAAAATCAGATTTTACATGTGGACATTATACAAAGTTTTGTCTATTTTTGCTGTGTGATTTTACTGAATACAGGAGATAAAATAACAGTAGATTGCTTTGAAAAATACATAAATAAATCTGAGAATAAGTGACCAAGATAAAGGACTAATTAGTCTCAGTACCGCGTCAGTACCTTAGACTGACATTGAAGTCATTATATTCCACCTGTTGCAATCACACACACACACACACACACACACACACACACATATATATATCATCAGGCATAATTGTTTAAATCTTACCAGCTGCTGTGTTGTTGTTGTTTTTCCTTCTGCTGGTTCCGAACAGACTCTTTTCCTCTCACCGTCTGGTTCTGGGTTTATAAGCGGCTCTTATCAGCTCCGCCTTATCGCTGCTCGGTGGCCGCTCCGCTGTTTTGATGATGCCGTCCGGGACGACCTCCGGACCGGGAACAGCACAGTCCATCACCGCCGTGTGACGCCTTCAGAGCCGCCAGACAAGGACGACACGCCGGTGACGTGTTTGTGACGGGACGGACGCAGAAAGACTAAAACAAAAAACAAAACAAAAAAAAACGCATCTTTGTGTCTGAATCCGGCTTTATTTCAGCTGCTGCAGGTTTGAGGTGCTCACCGGGTCCGGTAGTGGAGATAAACATAAACAGCGAAACACAGGAAGAGAATCAAACTCGGGCTTTTATATAATAAGAAGAGAAAAATGCAATAAAACCCAAAGCGGCTCATTATTTCAGACTGCGCATGCGCAGTAGGAGCTGCGACATTGAGCATTGCAACCCTGAGCGCTGTCTTACAGGGTGTTTGCTCGTCTTATAAGATCCACTTTTTAAACATACAAACAACAAACAGACACAGCTCGGTATTAACTCATAATAACATTCATTACTAATAGAAATTAGTGGTGACATGACTGGAAAAACAGTTAATTAAATAGTTTTAATAATCATATTTAACCAACAGATTTGTAAATGACAGACAAGTAGCAAACACAGTAAAACACAATGATTTTAATGATACATTTGGACTACTGTTATTTTTACTAAAATGTAAAATGGACAGTAAAGCCACAAGTTTCTTCTTACTAATGCCACCTTTAGACTTGAAGTGTATTTTTATTTGTCCAGTAGGTTTTGTGGCTGTAAATGACAAACAAGTGACAAAATACAGTGAGATATTGTGCTGGAGATGTTAATGATAATGCAAGTTTCTAGCATCTACACTCAATGTTCCAGGTAATTTCTACTTACATCACTTGTTTTTGTCATTTCCAGTCAGAAGAAATTTGTCAAAATCTCGATAAATAAAAACTTGCCATGGATAACAATCATTTTGGGCTTAACTGTATGAACTAAAAATATTATAAATGTTCAAGTTGGATAAAAATGGAACTAAAACCTTTAAGTACTTGCTTAAGGTTTAGGTTGTGGAACTCCAACTCATGTTCTGAAGAGACTCGTTGCAGAAAAGCACAAAAACCTTTGCTGCAAGCCACAAATAATGAACAAAGTAATGGCACACAGATTTATATAGTTCTAATGCAATGAGACATAGAACAAAACAACCAATAAAATATGTGCAACAGCCAACAAGACCCTAAAACAACAACCAAGGAGTCCCCATTTGTTGCTTTTGCTTGTGCCGTTTATGTAGAGGGTAGAAGGTGGATATAAAAATCACACATTTAATTCTTCTGCTCCAGACAGAGTTGTACTTCTTCTTAAAATGACATTTGCTTGTCTGATTAAAACAAGCAGCCTGCTAAAGAAACCCATTCAGTTTAAAGAAGCTGTCACCTGCAGAGGCCGTTTTGTTCTTAAAGAGGAAACACACCTGAAGAGCAGATATTTAATAGGTTAAAGAGTAGGTGGGTTTCAAATATGATTGGATAATAGATGTGTCCTGATTGGCCGGTTTGACCTGGAACTGCAGGCCCTCCTTTTCCAATATATATTAATAGTCGTCCTCAAATGTATTCAGACCCTTCTATTAAAGAAAAGGCTAAATTCACAATAGTCACTCAAATAATTAGAAACTGAAAAAACTAATAATAAATAAACATTTACTAAATTCTAATTTAGTGAAATAAGACATTGCTTTTGAATTGTGATTGAAA